AATAATAAAAAAAAAACAACCTATCCTCTCCTACTGTGAAATGAAGTCCCTGTAAAAATAACTGAATCTACTGATACTGTATCATCTCCCTGATCTACTCCAACTGTTCTGCTGAAACATCCGACTTCCCGACTCATCCCCTGGCTTGTATCCTATCTCTCCCATGCCTTATCAAAGCAGCCCTGTCCTTCCCTGGGCTACAATTACGCTCCAGCTGACAGATCATACGGCTTATCCCAAAAGTCATTAAACTAAATCTTCCCAACACTGGCTGCCTGCAGTTATAGCCCACGCAATCCACCTCCTCTCTCCTAGGCTCTTAAGCCACTCGCAATGATTCCAGGTTACCGGAGGTTATAGCAGCTGCCACAAAAGTTTCAAGAAAGAGAGAAGATAACTAATGGAGATTTTCATTAGAAAATCAATGTTTACCTAATTACATGTGCACATGTGCGCTAATGAAGGGGTGGTGGGAGAATACATTAAGATCATTATAGGTCACTCCAGTCGATTCAAACATCGTTATGTATAATGGTTTCAAAATGGCCTGTTTGTAACATCTGACAGTCACACAGTTTTCATGGTTTGGATGGAATTTAATTTATTGAAATAAGTAGACCATACAGTGTACTCTTCGGTTGTGGGATGATCTTACTGGTCTACATGTACATGTATATATGTATATATTAAGTGACAGAAACATTATACATTAATCAAAGTTAAGATACTAGCTTGGGTATTGTTTGTGAATATAATTCTCGACAATATCAGACTTCCCAGTTTTATTTGTCCCATGGAAGAGGTTTTACCTCTAGCAGCATATAGGCACCATGCAGCAGCAAACCTCCACCCCTGCACTGCTCGTAGGTGGGAGTGCTCATGGTTAAATCTACTTAAACTGTGAAGGTCCTTTAGCCCCAATATGTTGTTCTGACCATAACGACCTGCCCTAAGACCCAGATTACCTTACCTTGGGGGGCAGGCCCACTCTGTGGATGTGTCGCCCAATCTTGTCTGGGAAGCGCTCCGAGAGGGATTTCTTTGTCCGGGAAATTGCTCGGTCAGCGGCGTTGTAATTGAATGTCTCGCTGGCCAGCTTGACCACCTGTGTACAATCAATGTACAGAAGAAGATTTTGTTAATCTTTCCTTGACAGAAAATAACTGGTGGTGTGACTTGAGTGCTGGCATCTCTCCTCACTGAGTTACTACTACATGTAGTTACCCCCAGGAAAAAGGATGACCATGTATATTTTGTGTGCTCGTGTGTGTGTTCATATTTGTAGTCCGCATAACTGAAGAAACTCTGGATGGATTGTGATGATATCTGGTATGTGGGTAGGTCTTGGGAATATTAAGGTTAAGGTCCATTTTAGGCCTCCTGGCAGCTTTCCTTAGCAGTGCAAAACTTACATCTTACATTTCCAGATAGACATTTCCAGGTCAGTCTCTTAGAAACCAATAGACACTGTTAAAAGCTAGTGATTTTTTTTACAAATTGTTTGTGCAAAGGTGACCAACCCTACCCTGGCTTGAACACTATTTTGCCCCTCACACAGCTGCCAACTTCTGCTACATTCACTTCACGTCTGGGTGCAGACATTTCTTGGACCCATGGCATGATGAAGATTAAATACTAAAACTAGTTAACTTCCCAAAAATACAATTGACGTAACCTACTGACATCAAGGGAAATCTGATTATCAGATTTTAAAGTCAATTCCTTGACTTCACGTCGGATCGAATATCTTATTTTCAATCCCAGTGGACTGCCATGGAAAGTGAAATCACTTCTGTATTGAGCAATTGGAGGAGGTGGGGAAGACTCTCATTGATTATGCCTTCATCAAGGATGTACTGTGTATCAAATTATTAGATATTAAGCTTCATTAGTACATCAGGGTTTAGTGAGTATAGATGTAACTACAGCATCATCATTGTTAGGGATATAGCACATCATGACATGAATAATGTTGGTATTAGAATGAGTGGTAGTAACACTACTGGTAGATAGGGACACCATTTTTTACAGGGTTTCATGTCAATAATTTCCTTTAGAATTATGGGTTTATTATGGGTTCACCACACCACGAAGTGGTGTGGTGAAACCATATTGCTTTTTCTGATGTTTCTTCTCCTCCTCCTCCTGCCATATCTTTAAATGGATTCAGCTTCTTCATTTTAGGGCCTAAGGTCCTGAAATTTGGTATGGAGGTACAGTGGGCAAATACCCCTAGGCGTTTTTTAAATTATTGTGATACAGGCTTTTAGAATGGTTTTATTTGAGTTTTTTGGCTGTGTTATAGCAAATGTATTACTGTGTTAGTCTGCCTTGTTTACCACGTTTGGGCATGAGTCATCAGAATGGAATGCAGGGCATCAACCAATAGGCATGCAGCTTTCCTCTATACTTCTTGCTGATTGGCTGTTGGGATTTAACTTGATTAACACCTGCACAGAAGCATTTCCATACTGACAGTATGTCTGTATTCAAGTGTTTTGGTAGGTATTTCAAGCTTTCCTGCTCCAGCATTGGAATGCCGGGCATGGACGTTTTTTTTTTATTTTGAAAATCAACAGTTTGCATTATGCAATTAAAAATCCTAACCAATAAAGTAGGGAATAGCTATCCAACTGTTGTTTTAGTTGTATTTTACTTCATATTATAGTTATATCAATGTAAATCATTGTTTTCCCTTGTGTTTCCCATTCTTTCCCTGCCATGTCGTAAAATGTGGTGAACCCATCGCTGTATTTGCTCCAAAGCAAATATTGGCCTTTCTAGTATTCCGTTTTCAGTTAGTATTGGATCATAAGCTACGGAGGACATGTAGAAATTTGCATTTTTAAGTCTGATTACTCCATGTATCTGTTTCAGTTGATGATCCTATCTTTGACAGCGGCGACAGCTTGACTGACAGGACTACTGCACATCACCGATTCACCGTTTCATTACTTTGACAGACATACACTTGGCAATCAATTCCACTGATTGATTGACTGAAACACAGACTAATGGGCAACGTGTTGATGGCTTTCAAAGCTAATCAGGCTGGTTTGTGAGTTAATTGGGACAAGTTGCAATTCTTTTGCATATCTCCATGCAACCTTGGTCAACCTTATGTTTATCATTATTTGTCTGAGAAGGTTGATATATTCATGGAAAGTAATGTAGGCTTAACATGTTGATCTATGCATGGAGTCCCTACCATGTTGGTACTGGTAACTGCTCAGCAAGTACAAATCACATGAAAGTCAAACTGAGTAGGAAAACATGCATGGGTCACCTTGTATGTTCTACTTTCTTACTGAAGATTACCCATCCTGTATCCATATTGTTACATTTCAACCTTAATTCATGTCTCCTTTGCAACTACAATGTATTTTCAAATAAAATATGTACGTTCTACCCCAGGAAAACTTCATCCCTTGCTGTAACAAAAGCACGTCTGTTCCAGTTCACTCTGATGCTTAACGAATCTTATTATGGCAGAGAGGAAACCAAGTCACAGATATCAGTGTAAGATGAATGTACTGTTTCCTTGTTGCGACTATTTTCTTTAAAAAAAGCTACCTTATCGAACACTATGATGTATAAGAGGAAGTTTCCCACGCAATTGCTTGCTTGGTGACAAATGCCATGTCTACATCCAGCCAGCGAAAGTGAGATGAAAAAGCGTGATCAAACCTTCCGTAAGGCGGAGGGAAAGGACGCGGTTCCCGTGGTGATTGATAACATGCTTACTCCGGCCAATCGGCATTAATCTTACAGTGGGGATGAAACCGTGGAATTTTGGTGGAGACTTGATGAATGCGGAGATGGAGGAGAGTTAAGAACAACATGAATGAGATTTACATCAGGGCTTAGACGTAAGGGAGAGGGATAAGGTATCAAGGTATCTCCTGCATTAGCCATTAATCCTCCAGATTACATCTGTCCATCGGAAAGTTACAGCAGAGAGGAGTGCCAAAAACTTTCTCTTATCAGTACAAGATGAATCAGAGTGGAGAAAATTCTGTACATAGCCCTTCATATAATCAATAGGCAAGACAATCATGGCGGGGTAATATAGATCTATATCAGCTGTATAGATGACAAGGATTGAAGCATCTTGGACAGATGGTAATTTAAAAGATACTAGTATCAATGACTGATCAGATTATTAATGTACACTGTTGAATTGGGAAATACTAGAAACAGAACATATGTATCATAAAAAGTATCAAAAGAAAAACTAGATCAGCTCTTCTTTGAAAGTCATCATCATGTCTTCACAATGATCAAAACATTGACTTGGACAAGCCTGACAGTCATTTTGATCACGGGAATGGATCCAACAAGTTGTCGACCAACCAAGTGTGTTGCACATAAAAACTGTTAGTGTTATATAATAGCTTGTATAGCTATAGTCACTGAAGAGCTCACTAGGAATCAGTATCAAGTATGGAAATGAATTTTAACTTTCTTAAATGAGAAATGAAATTTACAACCTTGCACAGCATATGATTTGGAAGAGAAACAGTTCATATACCAAGAAAAATCTTCTCGTGTCTGTACATGTGGTTGTGGGCCAGTGACTACATGTATGTTAGTTATGATAGTTTGATATGGAAGAGATGACCAGTGTGCATATGAACTACTGATACATTGTTCCTACCTACCCTAGTTTTAGGGACAACATTCAGCTGTAGCTTGAGGTCGACCAGACTGGCGCCGGCCTCGGACAGGTACCCCTGGTTCAGCACCAGGCAGCTGCGCCCGAAACAACATGGACAGCAGATCTTCTGCATCCACTTGGTCCACTTGGGGTTCAGGTGTCCGTAGGGTTCCTCGTTCTTGGGCTTGAACACTCCGATCTTTTTCTGCACAAACACACAGGAAAAGGGTTATTATCTTAGGCAAAAAGTACATATTTACATTTATATCATACCCGGGCCGCGATAACGTTCGATAACGGGTTCCAGACCGGGCCGTACTTTACGGTACGGCCCGGTCCGGAACCCGTTATCGAACGCTTCCATGGCTTCCATAAAACGATTCGAACGCGTTTCGCCCTACCCGCTTGTGCCCCTTTCGAAAATTCGAATACAGAATCCAGACGTTGGAATTGGTGTTGTTGCATGCATTTTAGGGTTTAGCGGCACCAACTTTTGGCTCGTCTTGCATTGAAATGCGCGTTTTCTTGGGTGGGTATGACATAAATGAAATACAACACGGTGTATTCCGCATCGCCCTCGGTCCCGGCCCTCCCGCGAGTCGGATCACCCTTCGGTCGGGCCGATACCTCGGGCGATACGGAATACCCCGTGTTGTATTCTATATGTACAGTATATATGTACAATGTAGTCCAGAGTTATCAACCAAAAATTGTGTTCCAAAAATTTGCTTATTCCTAGAACAACTGTGGAGAGGAACTCACTGGCAGTAAGTAGATAGCTTTAAGCAATGCTAACTAGGTGTGACAGGTCTTTCAGTGTAATATAAGCAGTTTGCTCTGCCTGTGAAGCTGGTGTTATGCCGAAGGGCAGTTACGTGTATACAGTCTATACAGACACAGATCTTGCTCAGATGAGGACATTAATGTGCCACAAAGGTTGCATGATATTGTTGTTGGTCATCAAGGTATGTAGCTGTAGGATTTCAGGAGTTATGTTCTGAAATCCACGGCTAAAGTCCCTCAGTAAAAATTACATGTTGTTTATGTACCAAAATAGATCCATACCCCCTCATCCATCCCTCCCTGACCTTTTGTAATAAAGATTTCCTGACTTGTAACATTATAAGCCGTAAATGACACCTACATCTGTAGTTCCCCTCAGGTCAAATACAATCACTCTTCTGCCCCAAGCCAGCCCCCTACCTCATACAAGTTGGGCTGTGAACAGATTAAACTTTCCCAGCGCAAATTCCTCCTGCCTGGCAAGATTGCACAGATAGAAATCCAATTTTCTCACACTATAATTGAAACGGTGGGGCAGGCCAACATTGCGACTTCTGGATGACTGAACAGCAACTGTGCATTGCCTGTAGCTTTATCTTGGAAGGGCACAGTCCAGACACCAAGAACACATTTTAGGTTACAATATGAGACATTTGGAAAGTACTTTCTTTTGGGAAAATTGGATAGAATGTGTAGCATAGATTGCTTTGTGTCATGGGACATCACACAGATTTGCGAAGAAGAAAACAAAACTTTTGAAACAAGTCCTGCTTAGATGAAAACGTT